GCATGAAATAAATCAGCAGCATGAAATAAATCAGCAGCATGAAATAAATCAGCAGAATGAAATAATTCAGCAGCATGAAACAAATCAGCAGCTTAAAATACATCAGCAGCTTAAAATAAATCAGCAGCATGAAACAAATCAGCAGCATGAAACAAATCAGCAGCATGAAACAAATCAGCAGCATGAAACAAATCAGCAGCATGAAACAAATCAACAGCATGAAACAAATCAGCAGCATGAAACAAATCCGTAGCATGAAACTTATCAGCAGCTTAAAATAAATCAGCATCATGAAATAATTCAGCAGCTTGAAACAAATCAGCAGCATGAAATAATTCAGCAGCATGAAACAAATCCGTAGCATGAAATAATTCAGCAGCATGAAATAATTCAGCAGCATGAAATAAATCAGCAGCATGAAACAAATCCGTAGCATGAAATTCAGCAGCATGAAATAAATCAGCAGCATGAAATAAATCAGCATGTGCAGCAGCACATTACTTGTAGATAACATGCCACAAGTGCAATAAAGTAACACACGACTGGAAAAAATGTTCATTTTCTCTATAAGTGCAGCGTAAAGGCTGAGAGCTGATTGACTTAACTGAATTTTTTGAAGAAGCTGAAACAAAGATGGCAAAATTAAAACAATCAGACCAGAAACTAAAATTAGCTTCACAAAAATTAAAAGTTAAAATCAGAAAAATACTTCTTAAAACTCAAAATATTAAAACAAAAAGCTGAAATCTAAAACCAGCATGACTGTAGCTGAAAGCTCAAATCAGCCAAAACAGTAAATTAAGTACAGTAACTAAAAGCTAAAGAGCTAAATCTAAAAATGTCGAAACAGCATCTAAAACCCAAATTTAGCAAAAAGTAGCTAAAATCAGCAGAACGGTAAGTAAAGAAATGAAGCAAATGTGCAGAATGAAATTTGAACAATATAATGTAATAATTTAAAGTTCTTAACAAATAAAATGTAAATGAGGTTAAATAGTTCAGATAGGATAAAATTAACAAAAAGCAGAAGTTATTGTTGTAATGTCCTTAATGAGCTGAAGGTTTTCTTGCACGTGTTCATGTTCCTTAAGTTGTTTTCATCAGAGCAAGAAAAAGAATGTGCCAGCTGTCCAACACGGCTTGTTGAGGACGCTACACACTCCATGATGGGTTGTTAATTGTTTACGTGATGATGAAGATCAGCCATCTGTCCTTGTGATGAAGGACTTGTTAGGTCAGTGGGGCTCACTGTGGTTTACTTCCTGTCTTCCAGACGCTCACAGAGGTGAGAGAGCTGCGCTTCCCCGAGGTCTTCTCTAGAAGCAACACTCTGGAGGTGAGTGGTCTTGTGCCTCCACCTACTGGCTGCTGTTCTAAGCGGCTCCATCCTTTCAAAGCTGCTGCGCCTTTTAAAGCCACCACCTTCCTGCTGACAGACAACACGAATAATGTCGAATGGAGCACAGCTATTAAGATGTTATTTACCATGTTGTTGTTTACCATTTCTCTTTAGGACATTGTAAATATTTTACTTTTTCACTTTTTGGACCTTTATTTTTGTACCCTCATTTCATGCTTTGGTATTTTCTTCTTGTTTGTTCTTTGATTTTTTAGCGAGTCACATCTGTTCTTGTCATCCTGAACATTGTACGGTTGTTAACCTGCGTACGACGAATAAACACAACTTGAGATGTACAGGAAATACAGCAACACACACACAGAGGAGCTTGCTTTCATATTACTGTAACAAAATAAAATAATTAGTTGGCATGTTTAATGCAGGTTTTCAACCTTTAGTTATACAGGTTAGTCCCACTGAGCCTCAGGGACTCGTTTACAAGAGAGACCTGAATTAGGCTGAAACTAGCAGAAATTACCACAAACAACTTGAGTTTATCTGAAAACAGCCAAAGTTTAGCTAAGAAACAAGCTGAAATGTAGCTGGAAAGTTAGAAGAACAAGCTTAAATTAGTAGAAGAAAGCTGAAATGGCACATTTTACAGTTAGGATAAAAGAAGCATACATGAGCACAAAAAAGTAGAACTTATCTGGAAAAAGATGAAATTAGCAACAAACAAAAAAAACAAAACTATCAAAAGAAAGTAAGAAGCTTAAATTACCAGAAGGAAGAGGAGAGAGCACATTTTTGCTGAATTAGCTGAAAAAAGTTGAAATCAGTACACAAAATATGGAATTAGCTGAAAAAGTAAAAACAACAACAACAAAAAAATATATAGTTGAAAAAGTTGAAACTTGCAGAAATTAGCCGAATGAAGTTAGAAGCACAAAAATGTTGTAGTTGGCAAAAAGAACCTGAAAGGAGGAAAAAAACAGCTGAAAGTAGCTGAAGTAAAGTTTGAATTTGCACAAAGACGCTGAAAGAAGCCGAAGCAGAACAAAATGTGAAAGGAGCAGTAAAAGGTTATAAACAGATCTAAAGATTTGAAGGATGTAAAATGAGCTCAATTCAGTTTCTATCAGAGAAAAAAAAGTCAGAAAAGCTAAATATTTCAAAAAGCTAAAGTTGTACCAATACTAAAATTAGCATGTTTAATGCAGTGCTATGTGTTGTCATCATGTATGTTCTCATACATTGGTGAAATTGATTCTCTGCATTTAACCCACTGCGCCCGGGGTGCTTTGGTGGAGTGGTGGGCAGCGCCCGGGGTGCGCCCGGTGGAGCGGTGGGCAGCGCCC